AAAAGAACTCTGAGTAATTTATTCATTGGAAACACTGTCAGTCAGCACGAAAGGCAAACGCTGCTTAACAGAAAACGATAAAACAAAGGTAAAGATTTTTCTAGTTTTATGTCAAGAAAAATATATTATACATCCAATCAGAATTATCAAATATATACTATTTATCGTTTATCAGTCATATGAACTATTCATTGTTTATAAATTATATGAAATGATATGAAATTCTATTAATATGTGAGTAATTTGCATATGGAAAATCAAACACAATTTCAGATAAACTAAAGAAAACACCTAAAGAAAACTCTCTCTCGCTTGGAATTGGAAAATATCAACAGAAGAATAGAAAATGAGCCAAGTCAATCATGTCATTTCGAGATCGCGCGTGAGAAACAGAATACGTGAAAATATGATAACGCTTCCAATGTTGAAAAAATCTAAAAGGAGTTTAAAAAGAAAAAAGAAAAAGAACATATAAAGGTTAAATGAAGAAAATTGTTGATGGGCAATCCATCAACATAAAATAAGCAAGCCCTTTATGATCCAATCGCCTTAATGAACGTAGTATATATATCAACTACATCACAATCCCGCATAATTCTGTGATAAGAAATCCTTAGCTTTTTATTTTTCCTTTATGAACCAGGCAGGTGTGAGTTACTTAGTTGGGTGTTATAATGCACAAAAAATAGATGCTTACCCAGGGAGTAGTAAATCTTGAACACTAATAACGAACGATAATAATTTCTTAATCTTAGAGACGAATTCGCTGCAAATCACCTTTTTAAAACCTTTTACAATCTATTCTAATAACAAATAAACGAAAAAGGAGGCAGTCAGGTCAGGTCAGGTTGCAGGATCAGGCGGTCTATGGTTCCTGGTCGTCCTTCGTTCCTGCAAAAGGCCCAAAACTCGTGGAATGAAGCTCTCGTTTGCGTCTCCCTCGTCAGCGGTCTAAGAGAGAGCATTGGAGCGCCCTTCGCCGTCGCTTCTGCCAGTGGGAGAGGGTCGGGTTATTTGCGTTAATAATGGCGGAAAAAGCACCAGCAGGACGGGACCTTCACAAAGCAGATGGCAGAGAGCCGGGTTTTCCTTGAGGCAAATCCCCATCAAAGGTTATCACACCTCGCGCTCCTTATCTTAAGGGGCGTGACTCTACGTTCCATCTTGATCTCCCTCTGCATCACTCTCTCTTGCATCGTCACTTGCTCGTTTCCTCAGTCCTCCTCCTAATCCCTTTCTCTTTCACGTTCGCCCTCGTCACTCTGAGGCCGTCGCCGTGCTTGCGGGTTCTCGTCTGTGACTGTGACGAGGTTGGATGGCGTCTCCCAGGGCACCAATGGCCCGTTCTAGGAAGTTCTTCGCTTTACCTTGGAGGAATCTCCTGGTGAACACTTTCCGCCGGAGTCTGATGACGATGGCGATAACAATAATTATAACAATAATGATAAAAATAATATTCATAATATGATATAAATATAAAGATAAAGACAATTATAATAATATTGACAAAAATTGCAATGCAAAATGATAACGACTAACAATAGCAATAAAAAATCAAGAACGATAATAATAACGCTCCTTTTACGTATGTAAGACGAGATGCGCATTTTTGTATGGCTTCTTTGTCGCTGTGGCGCAGTGGTTAAATCTTAAAATCTCGTAAACCAAATTTATATTTATATCGGTGTATAACAAAGCTTTATGTGTGAACAATAGGATCGTATATCATTCGTATCTGAAGGTTGTAAGGTTGTAAAACGATTTTTTTGGGGGGATGGAATTAATATTTTTTTATCATGATCACTTGTTATTTTCATCACGGAAATGATGATACTAACAGTAATAAGGATAACTAGAAGCATTTAGAGAGCGCATACCCCCGCCAAAGCAATCGGGGTAACTGGTGCAAGCAGTCAAAAAAATTCCTGGATCTGGATCACCACAAAACTCTAATGACATCTAAGCTGAGCTCAGACACACCTCGGGTAAAATCCTGTTCATAACTTTTTGAGCTCTCCCGATAACCAACAAACAAACAAATGCTACCAAAAAAAAACAAAAAAAATCTCCTTAGCGGAGGTAATAATATTTACTGTAATAATTATGATAATGATAATAAAGGTAATGACACTATTAGTGTTTAGCCCTATTGCCAAGGTAATAGAGGGAACTAATGCAATCATTAAAAAATCCTGGATCCGGATCACCATGAATTTATTAATTTACTTTTATTAGAGGTGTAACAATCCAACCTAGATGCCATCATTGGTGATCCAGGATGGTGAGCAGGATAACAATGGAAAGATTTTTATTTATTTATTTATCAAATTTTACCAGAGATGTGTCTCAAAACAACTTAGATGCCTTTATTTTGCTGGTGATCCTAACCCTGATAACTAAAAAATTAAGAACAAATTTTTATTTTTTGATTTTGTTTATTTATTCATTTACTTTACAAGAAGTGTGTCTTTCCCAAACTTATGTGCCATTAAATCATGAC